GGGGGGGGGGGGGGGGGGGGGAGAGGTTTCAGGGACTTGGCAAGTTGAGGAAAGTGGATAACTGGACGATTCTGATGGAATCTTGTGGTCAATCGACATCCTGGAGAGAAGGGGAAAGATGCTGAGGCAGTTTTTCTTTTAGGGTGGATCGATTTTGAGAGGGAATATTGCTTACCTTGCTGCCGCGCTCGTTAAAAATAATCTCGACATCCAGTATTGGACCGTATTGCTGGAAAAAGAAAGGGGAATTTTGTTTTTGAAACGTGTTTTGTATCGATTCTTGAAAAATCATTTAAAAAGACTAAAATTCGCCTTTGATAAAACCTGGATTATCTAGGTAACGAGTGAATTTAGAAGGAAAAACCTTCGGACCTTTTTTGTAGCTGATGAAATTTCCTGCAAAAATTACTTGTGACATTTTTCTCCAAATCCACTGGTTAATAAGGTAAATCGACAATTAAGAAAACTTGAAAACCGTCGTCAATGAAAATTATATAGAGCAAATCATCTTCAATCCTCAATATCTCTTGAGCAAATGATACAATTCAGATGACTAAAATCTCATTCAATAGCTTAAAAAAATACCTTCAAAATAAATAAAAAATTGTGAATTTCCACTCAGCCGATCTCAAGTTATGGCCGAATGAATAAAAAATAACGAAAAAATTTAATTATACTTACACCAAACATAGCCCTAAGATCGGGATCTCTGAACCTAAACGGTATATTACTGACATGAAGACGTTTAGGTTGTCCCTTGAGATCAGTACCCTGGGTAACAGTGGAAGGTGTCGTTGTGCCGGAAGTAACAGGCACCATATTATTACCCTCAACTCCACTATCCTGATTTGTATCATTGGCCCCAGACGCTGCTGACGCTGTCTGTTGACCACTGCTGTTAGCTGCCGCAGCGGCAGCAGCTGCAACTGCCGCCTGAAATACCTCAGACTGCAACAGAAATCAAAGAAGAATTTGTAAAAATAAATTTCACAAACTATTTTATTTTCATAGCTAATCCAGAACGCCCACACGCCCCATAAACATGGTCATATTTTTTCCCGTGAACCGTCAAATGCATGCGAAAGTCTGCGAATGTATTGAGATGGAATGGCAGAAGTCAAATAAAAAAAATTTCAATTCCCCTTCCCTCTTGTTTAATGTTCAAATGCATCTGTCGGGTTTGTCGATTACATTTTGGTTGAAAAAAAAAGGTAGAATAATAAATCTACCCTTTTTAACAGGAAAATCTACCAATTATTTATTTTCTGTCTGCCATAAATGGTAGACTTCACTGTTTGTAAATTTAAAAAATGACAGATTTAAGTCTACCGTAAATTGTAGATTCAAGCCTACCATAAATGATAGATTTTTAATCTACCTTAAATCGCAGATTTTTAATCTATCATAAATGGTAGATTCAAGTCTACTATGTTTGGACTCTGGCTTGAATTCAACAGTTCCTTGATCTATCATCCTGGGTAGGCTTGAATCTACCAATTAGGGTAGACCTCACCTTGTCAGTTATAGTAGATTTTGTTCGATAAATTCGGAAAATCTACCAATTATTCACATTGCGGTTTTTTTTTGACAGTGAAGTCTGCCATAAATGGTAGACTTCACTATTTACAAATGTAAAAAAATGGCAGATTTAAGTCTACCGCCAACTGTAGATTCAAGCCTACCATAAATCGTAGATTTTAATCTACCATCAATTACAAATCTTAAATCTACCATAAATAGTAGATTTTTAATCCATCATAAGTGGTAGATTCAAGTCCACGGACGGTAGATGCGGGTAGATCGAAGCCTACCGTGCTCTGTAGAGTAAATTACCCGCCAGTAGAACAGCAGACCCCAGTCTACCTGATTAATTTGTAAAAATAAATTCCGCAAACTCTTTTATCTTCACAACTAATCCCTAATGACCACATGCGCCACAAACATCTCCATATTTTTCTCGTCATACGCCATATGCATGCAAAAGTGTGAATATTAGGGAAAATTCCAAAGTCAAATAAAAAAAATGTTGCCATTCTCCCTATCCCCTTGTTTGATATTCAAACGCATCTGTCTCGTTTCTCGATCACCCCCCTAAGTGCCAGTCATTCGTATACGCGAGCTGAATATCCAGGACAAAGTATCCTAGAACAACGCTTGCAGCTTAGCACAAATACATTCACATTTTTACATTCTCCAATCCCCCCATGACTCGCTTTACGTATTCAACTCCTGGTGCACAGGGCTCTCAATCTCCCTTTGTCTCTGTCTCTTTTCTATTTTAACACTAAAACATTTCGAGTGAAACCCGTGTAAATCAGGAATAACTAATTGTGACAAAACGCAAAAGTGTCTCGGAGAGTGAAAAATTGGATCAATCTCGCTCTTTTGCTCCCTCTTTTTTCTCTCCTCTTGTCCATTTTTTTTTGGGGGTTTCATTTTCCTTACGGAGCGAGTGCAAAATTTGATGCTCAAAGTTCTCCCGTGGCTACGAAAAATTACTACGGCTTCCTTGTGAGAAGTAAAAAGTTAACTTCAGTTATGTTAAAGGGAGTGGGGAACAAAAAAAAATACAGTAACAGTGGCAAATGCTCGGGTGGAATTATTAGACCAAAATTCGGGGGGAGAAACTGAAAAGTTCAACCAACCGTGGAATATTTCACAAAGTTTCTCTGTGAAACAAACTACCCGCACTATAGCCTCCCCCCCCTCTTTGCCCACTCTCAAACGTATTTTAACTCGGCAATTAGGAGATGAAGGAAATTATTCCGCGTGGAATCGTGAATTTAGTGAGGGGCTGGGGGAGGGATAATTTAATTACTCGNTTTTTTTTTTTTTTTTTTTTTTTTTTTTTTTTTTTTTTTTTTTTTTTTTTTTTTTTTTTTTTTTTTTTTTTTTTTTTTTTTTTTTTTTTTTTTTTTTTTTTTTTTTTTTTTTTTTTTTTTTTTTTTTTTTTTTTTTTTTTTTTTTTTTTTTTTTTTTTTTTTTTTTTTTTTTTTTTTTTTTTTTTTTTTTTTTTTTTTTTTTTTTTTTTTTTTTTTTTTTTTTTTTTTTTTTTTTTTTTTTTTTTTTTTTTTTTTTTTGTAATTGAAGGGGGAGTAATAATGGTTGATATTGGGGTCGGTGAGTGGAGTTTACTTTTGACTTGTGACTCGCAATTAATTATCGGGCTATGATTTTTATCGCGTTATATGATTATTTGTGTGTTAGTTAAAAAATAAGTCATTTTCAATATTTTCTCCGCATGGATTTTTTCACATTTGTAAAATTTTTTTTCGGCTGCCAGAGTTGGGATAATGTTGAATCCAACGAATCGTTGAATTCAATTTGAAGTACATCGTCACAGAAATTCCATTTGAAAACAAATTGCAAATTTAATAGGAAAAAAAAACGTTTCCGCTCGTTTTTTCTCATCTTCTTCCATTTGACGATAAATTTTCCCGTTCATTGAGGTCACCCCCCCCTTCCCGCCCCTCGATTCCCAAAAAAATTCTCCAACAAATTCCATTTCGCCCGAAAAAAAAAAATATTCCAATTTTTTGCGCTTCCAAACGCCTGAGGTTCATCGGTGCACGTGCAAAAAAAAAAGAGATCAGATGAAATGTTACTGGGGTTAAAAGACTTGATTGAACCGTCAAATATTTATCCCGGGGTTTTCCCCCAGACGTGCCCCATTTGCGCGTCTCTCTCTCTCTATTTATTTATTTCATATAACTTGTTCTTTTTCAGTTTCTCTGTATCTTTTTTTTTCACATGTTCTGGTCGTCTCGGGGGCGGACAACAACACGCCGAGTGTTTCTACGGCGTTACGTGGACGGAATGAGGATCGTGGGAATGTACCCTAGAGGCTATGTGTGTTTTCACCCTCTCTGTGCCCCCCCTCCCAACCCCGCTGTCCACCCGCCGACGCCGTCCACCTCTCGACAGTACTGTTTTAACGTGAAAATAGAGAATTGCTTCTTCCTTTTATCGTCTCTACCTTTTTTTTACCCCTCATGAAATTCCCCTTTCACTCTACTTTCAGGGGGTTGAAAAAAAGCATTTTAGGAGGTTGAGAATGATGAATTTAATGGAATAAATGAGTCCAGCACTTTGTGAAAAATTATTCTAATTTTTATCATCTTTTTTTGCGGTCATTTGAATTTCTTCAATTTTCTTCATTCTTCTCCGTTATTATTTTTGATGGAAGGAAGGGGAATGAAAAATATAGAAGAAATTTCACTGGGTGAACTGGAAAATTGGCGGTGAGTTTGAAAAGAAAAAATATAATTTTTTATGTAAAAAACGAGAAATAACAATGAAAATTTTTTTTTAAATTTTATTGAACAAAACAGGGGAAACGGTAAATTTTGATTTCATCGGAGGGATAGATATCTATTTTAACAGCTCGGACAGTCCGGGAATTTTTAATAAACTGAATAATTCAAATGAATTTAAGTTTAGAAATTGGAAAAAAAACTCTTTTAACTAATTAATTATCAACTCTATATATAAATTATCCGTGTTCTTCTCGTGGGAGTGTCTGGGGGTAAATTTTCCAGTGGTATCTTAACCATTCCGTTGAATTAAACATTTTGCTTTTACCCGGGGCCATGCCAATCCGAATGAAAATCCACCTTTCCAACCCATATACATGTATATACAAATGCAGTATGGTAATTCGTCTGGTTTTGGATGCATGCCTGTGCTAAATAAATTTTTCACCTGAAGGAAAGAAGAGAAAAAAAAGGGGGTGGGGTGGGGGGGAATATCTCGGTGCCCGTAAAATCCAGGGAGGTTATGGAAAATGAGGGAAAAAGGCCGGTGAGAGTTCAGACTCGGGGCGTGGCAGGGAATCTATTACTCTCCAGAAAAATTTACGACTGATTTCATGAATTTTCAATGTTTCTGATGATTACAGATAATCCATCTGATAATCATGCCTGACGTCTGACTGAGTTTATGAACTGGGTTTTATGAATTATGTGTTGCATTTTGATTTCAACGATTGAGGAGTCATTTTAATGAGTTCGCCCAGTCTTGGTAAATTTTGAAAAAAATTATTTTGAAATGAAATGCTCAGGGAGAGGTAAAACAATTCAACGTCGGGGCTATGTTGGCTGCCAATGTTGGGCCAATGCTGGCTGCCAACAGTGAGACAATATTGGGCAAATGTTGGGCCAACGTTGGCTCAATGTTGGGTCAGTGTCGGGGAAATGTTGGCCATCAACATTGACGCAATGTTGGCTGTCAATGTTGGGTCAATGGTCGCTGTTAACGCTGAGTCAACGTTGAGTCAATATTGGGACAATGTTGGGGCAATGTTGGCTACTGACATTGAGGCAATGTTGGCTGTCAGTGAGGTAATGTTGGCTGTCAATGGTGGGATAATCTTGGGATAATCTTGGCTGTCACCGCTGGGACAATGTCGTGAAACTGTTGGCTACCACCGTTGAGGCAAAGTGAAAAAAAAATCATCTAAAATTAAAAAATTAAAAAAACTCACGATAGCTTGTTGGTCAACACCGTTGGGCGGTGGTGGTGGACTGAAACTCGTGGCAGCGGGTGCTCCTGGTGCCGTTGGATGCTGTGAGCCCTGTGTCGATTGTACCTGGGGACCACCGGATGTTTGCTGCTGCTGTGACCCAGTTGATTCCTCTTTATTGGGCACTGGTGGAGGTGGTTTAACCTCACCAGTTGACCCGGCTGTACCAACTACCCCAGTTACACCGTTCACAGGGGGTGGAAATACACCCCCACCGTAAGGCGCAGCCATACCTGTCTGCACCACGTGCTGCGAACCAAAAATTAAAAAATTATTTTATCAATTTCCCCAAGTGCATCTGACGGTATTTCAATGGTTCAATTTTTTTCATTTTGTTTAAGGGGAGATTTTCACAAGAAGGAGTGAATTTAGGGGAAAATGTCATAAGACATTCTTTTTCGGTAATTTCATTCTCTACAAAAAAAGCTTTGAGGTATTTTCTCCTAAAACGAGTAATTTTCGAGATAATCGAGCAGTTAAGAAAACCGTTAAAATTGACTTGTCACCAATTTCAAGATAAACAATTTTAATTTCCTTCGAAATAGTAATTCCCTCCCCGAAATAGTTTCAATGGCCACGAAAAATGATCTCCCCCATTATTAAGTCTGTAAATAGAGCAATTGAATACAAATTGATCTGAACAGTCGGCCATTTTGGGTATATCGAGAAGGAGTGGACTGGAATATTCAAAGGCATTCACAGCCACCGGAAGCATATCTCGAGGCTTTGGGGGGAAGGGCAGTCGATAATTATCCCAGGCCATTATCCACTCGGCGTTTCGCACTGGCGAGAATTGAAACTAGAGGGTGAACACGTGAGAGGGGACGGGGGAGTTAGTCAAATGCAAACAGAAACAGACCAAGAGGGTCCGTGACTGTTTCACCCCGCGTGTCGTTCTCTTATCGCCAACTACAACGATTTAGAAAGCGGTGTTACCACGGGTGAGGGAGAGAGGACATTCGTGGTGGTAGATTACAGAAACCCCCAACAAGGGTTATTCGTTATTATTGCGGACGTTACCTTTCTCCATATCTTCTCGACATTTATTTCGAGGTTATTTTTAAATTAAACTCTTTATTTTGAGGTTATTTTCTGCTGGAGGTGGCAAATATATCTGGCAAGTCCCGCGGTGACGCTCTACCAACAAAATCGATCAGCAGACACCACCAACTATGTCCATTGGTGAAAAACATTGGCGGCGTATTTGAATTTTCGCGGGCTTTCACGGAATGGCCGGTCTTTCACGAAATGGCGACGCTAGGAGATCGGAGTGAGCCTTTAATTGACAATATCTCGAGATTGGCAGAGTGGAATTCAAAAAATTTGGCGCCATTTTCAAGATATTTGTTTCCTCTATATAATGAACTGAGTCTCGTCAAAATCGCATCGCTAGGGCAGGAGAATTTATGGAATTGATATTTCTTCTCTGTAAAGAATGGGCGAAAAATTTGTTTTCCTTCATTTGATGCTCAATTTTCCAACTCATGCCATGTCAAATCCATTTCCATATCTATTTTCATCCCCCCGGAGTATGAAGTCTCGTTTAATTAAATAACAGGTCATATCCACGATCATTAAATTATTCCTGGAATAAATGAATTTAATACACCAGATACTAATGACAGAATTATACTCCCAGCAGTTGCTCATCTAATGAAGTACGAATTTTTCACTGGCACTCATTTGAGTAGACGGAAATTTCACTATTTAATTCGTCGCCAAGACCTCTCGAGGGGACTGGTGCGAGGTCTTCTGACACTCCGAGGGCTCTCGTGTATTCAGAAATTCTCTTCTTTCATTACTGATAACTAAAAAAAATCCTCTCGAGTGGAAACGTGACTGAAAGACCTTCTTCTCTCGCTTCGAGGGGATCTTGAACATAATTTTTTTTGCAATAAAAAATTGCGCACTGATTTTTTATTTTGCGGTTATAATAACGAGAAACTGTATGTTTTGAATACCAGTGTTGATGGTAATTCCATCGGGGTGTTGACGTACGACTTCCGGCTGACATTTATGTCTGATTATGACGGAATTAATTAACAATCGCGGTGAAACTAAACGAGGAATTAATTACGTCATTTATTCTATCAATTTTCACACAAAAAAAATGTTTTTCTTTTTTATATTCATTTTCGCAAATTTCTGGCTGTATAATGTTTTATTTGAGAGCCCAGGATGGGTAAATAATTCAAATTTTCTTCAAGGACCCATCCGATTTGTACCAACTCCAAATATAAAAAATTCTTGTTTTTTACACCCTCGACTTTTGAATTTTTCGCCCTACGCCGTCTCACCGGGAGGGCTGTTCGGGTATTTTTGCGCTGTTAGAATGCGAAATGAGATTTTTTTAAGGAGATAAAATGAGAGAATGTCAATAATTCAATGCAGGCTACATGCGAAATTACCTCAAGGAGTGGAGGTTGAAAATTACCCCATTGTCCAACTCACGATATTCCTCTTCAAACTTTAAAAAAAAAAAAAAAAAAAAA